TATATGTTCCATTCTGTATGCATCTGAAGAAGTGGGCTGTAGTCCACGAAAGCTTATGCTCTAATAAATTTGTTAGTCTCTAAGGTGCCACAAGTACTCCTGTTCTTTTTATTTCAGCTGTGATACCAGTCAGCTCTGTGTTGTTAGGGAACCAGGGCACAGTATCCAGCCTGTCTGACTCATGAGAGATCTCCCTGCCCCACCAGCCTCTGTTTGAACCAAAACTGATCAGAGAAAAGACTTGCAGAGAGCAGTGAGGGGCATTGGGAGGCGCACCTAGACCCCTCCTGACAAGGGTGACAAGAACAAAGGCAACTCCCTTAGCCTCATCTGCATGAATGGAGAACAGAGAACCACACTGAACTCTGGGACCAGAAAAGCAGGGACGCACTGCATGATGGGGGATCTCTGCTCCAGATGTTAATGAACCCAACGCCTGCACACACCCAGCTCTGCAGTTATCAGACCAATTCTAGTAATGAATCCTTGATTGATATCCAAATACTGAAGCAGCCTAGTTGCATTGTGAGCTCCCTGAAGGAACATCACCCATAACCAAGAGCGATCAGCTCCTATTGTCTGGCCTAAAGAAAACCCTTGAGTCATCAGTTTACCCATAAACAAATCTAGTGTCTCCCTTGAACCATTGTATTTTCTCTACAAAAACCCCTACCCACACTCCAGTAAGTGCTCTGATGCCTGGATCCAAACTCTGCATCAGTTCCACTGGGATTACATCTTTTCCGGACTGATCTGCCTGTCTCCAGCACTGAGGACCCTGAGCTACCACCATGACCTGGGAACCCCGACCAGTTCAAGCCTCATGGAGTGGTGAGATCTCTCTCTCTCTCTCTCTCTCTCTCTCTCTTTTCTACCTCAGGTATAACTTTCTAACCCTGACTTGTGTGATCAGGTAGAGTTTTGTATATATGACTTTTGTGACCGATAATAATGTAACTGTTATGTGGGTTTAGGCTCTCCTTGTGTAGTTATCACGATTATTCAATAAATAACTTCTATGGTTAAGCTGGCTGCCTCTCCCTCTCTGAACTTTACTCTTTTGCGTTTTTGGCTTCCTCATTTGCTCTGCAGCAACGCTTCTCTTACCTAAGCTAAAGATCCCGGCAGCACCCAAAATCCTGTAGGGTTTGCTCATCAAGTGGGTTACTGCCAGAACAACTGTAATGTGAGAGTGGGGATAGGGACGTGCTGAACCTGGGATATACGAGGGTGGCAGCTTGGAAGTGCTCCTTGACCCAGACTACTGAGTCCAGGGGCACATAAGGGTGGCAGTTTGAAAGTGCTGATTGACCTGGTCAGCTCAGACTTGTGTGTGTGTGTGTACATACACACCCAGCCCTGGGGACTCTAGGTCCTGCAGGATCGCTCCATTGGGAGGGGACTTGCAGAAGGAAGAAGTAGAGCTCCATATGAAAACACAAGTGACACAAGCTGTATATTGATAGAATTACACACCCGCCCCCCAGAAGAGTAACCCTAATAAATAAGCATACTCCAAAGTAATGGTGTGATGAACTGGGACTGTTCTTACTGTGGTCTGTGAATGCTGACAGGGGAGTGTGGCTGGGATAGTCTGCATTGGGGGATGGGAGACTGACTGAGGGAGAATACCTGAGCATGTACCATGAGAACCCAGGAAGGGGTTAGAGGCCAGGTGACACCTTTGCCCGGGAAACTGAACAAAGGCTGTGGGAGGGGTTGCTGAAGGGAGAGTTTCAGGAGCTGGCTGGGGAGATGGCTGGGAGGCAGACGGGGCTCTGACCTCCCAAGGGGGCTGGGGTGCCTTGGGACCCAAAGATGGACCTAACTGAGGGGGGTCCTGTTGTCTGTCTGTGCCTGCAAGACCTGTCTTGGACTGTATTTCTGTCGTCTAAATAAACCTTCGGCTTTACTGGCTGGCTGAGAGTCATGGTGAATCGCAGGAAGCCGGGGGTGCAGGGCCTTGTGTCCCCCGACACTCCGTGACAAATGGGCAAATCTGGTAACAGCTGGCTCTAAGGACCGGCCATGGATTGAAATAGACCAGGTGGCCACAGGGCGGGGGAAGGGGTAGGACACCCCGAGCGGAGAGATCAATGGGATGGCAGCTGACGGCATGGCTATTTTGGGGTGATGGTGGGTTTAGCAAGGAGGGGATCAGCTAAAGGGAGTGAGAGGGCTGGGGAGAAGGGGCAGGTGCGGAGTGGTGGGGAAGAGACTATAGGGAGAGGTGGCTTGGAGCAAATGTCCCGTCAGCTCATTTGAAAACTGCAGGAAGATCTCGGTATGTCCAGAGGACCCTGGTTTGGCTGCTTCTGGCTCTGGCTGGCCAGGTCTTGAGCTGGGGATGGTCAGTGTACAGGATCACACAGACCTGCCGCTCCATGCTGGCTACGCAGGTTGCGGGGGGCCGGGGATGCTAATGGAGTACCCATGGCAGGGTGTGTGTGTGTGTGTCTATGAGCAGGAAGGGGACCCAGCGTGGGGTGTGTGTCGACCCCTTAATCACACGGAGGGCAGGACACACAGGCCAGGTGCATTGGGGCGGGTGCCAATAGCAACCCAGCCACTGCCCTGGCCTTGGAAACCGCAGAGCGCAGCAGCCCAGGGGAGCCAGCCACCGCAGGAAGCCTCGCAGCCGCAGAGAAACAGCTGGCACAGTTGCGGTCACAGAGATGATTAATAGACGTCCCCTCCCCCGCGCTGCGCCATCACTGCCTTTGTAGCCCTGCCTCAAGGAGCTGAAGTGAAATAGTTTCTCCACAGTGTGAACAGGGCGATGGATGGTGAAATTTAATCCTTTGGTGGCCCCCCGACATCTTTGATCTGAGCATCTCACCGCAGTTTGCAGCTGTGACAATCACCGTGTAAGAGAAGCATGATCCTCAATATATAAATATGGGAAACTGAGGCACATGACTGAGTGGAGGGGGGGAAAATCGAACCCAGGAGTTCTGCGTTCCAGCATCCTCCTCTTTGGGCCACTTGATAAGCCACCTCCAGGCAATACAACAGGTGAGATTCCGTCGTAGGAAAGCGGATGAGTTCTCTGCTGCGAGCAATCAAGCAAACTCATGGACAGCATTCCAGCCGGCCATTTGGGGAATGCATCAGATCTCTGTGAGTTCGAACTCCCCTGTTCGGTCTATGACCCTCCTGTGGACCCCATGCAGCCCAGGATCAACGCAGACTGGTGTAGCCTCCTGTGCTGTGGTCCAATCCCACCTCGTATAGGAGAGACACATGGGTGATGTCAGTGCTCAGAGAGGAGATCTCTAAAGCACTGCCGGGAGCAGGGCAGGGGAGCCTGTAGGGGGCGCTGTCCCTTCAGAGTCGGTGCTGACCTCCATCCCCGAGTGTGGCTTGTGGAGGGGTTGTGCTGTAGGGAGCAGGGCAGGGGCTCAGAAGGGGGTGTTCTTACCCTGCAGTCAATGGTGACCCCAATACCCCAGCATGGCACTGGGGTGCACTGTGCTGTCTGGTTTAAAATGAAATACACCTTCGTTCACCAGTAGTGGTCATCACAGATCCCTTGGCGTTTTCACAACTGATTTTGCCTCCCTCAAATTGCAGCCTCAGTTGGACCCAGGTTTCTCCATGCCCCCCTCTCCAGAATAGCTCTGCCGGGAGCTCTTCAAGAACTGCCATGTTCCACCTTACAAGCGGCTGCATTTTGGTGCTGGGAGCGAGATCCACTTCTGCAGTGTTTGCCCTGATGCTGCTAAACTGCTGTCAAACCATCCCCCGGAAGTGGCTGCATTTCAGCCCCAGGTGAAGATCCCTTTGGAGGGGTAGCGCTAACTGTGTTAAAGAGTGGTCAGTCCTTACCCCAGAGCTGGCTGCATTTCAGTGGTTTGATTAACGTATCCCCCATTCCCAGTATGGGAAGCTCTTCCGATGTTGGGGATGTTGCACAGATCTCTTGGTCACAGGCTGTCCTCCAGCCGTGTGTGTCCCTCCCTTCTGCCCCTTACGGGAGGGGATGAGATCTGTGTATGTGTGACATAGATAGAGGCCACTCCTCTATCTAACCCCTTAATGAAAACCAATGTGATTTCATTTTGTTTAAAGGAGTTTTGTAAACACAGACCCAGAACTCCACGGCGAAGGAACAAGAGTAATAATATCCAGGGGGTCCCATCGTAAGAGAAGGTTTCCCACAACAAAAGGGCGCAATGTGCATTGGAACAGATGCAGGGGTAGGGGCCCCTCTGGACTATTTCACATAGTTCTGCAAACACTTGTCTTTGACAGATTAAAACCCAAACTCCCTCCTCTAACCCGTATACTGAAAATAATCTAAGCATTGGGAATTACTACTCTCCCTGCTATAACCTACTCCCTTCACAGACCATGGCTCCCAGCCTCACCACCTGCTCTAATAAACTAAACCTACTCCCCTCCCAGAGCTGGGGATAGAACCCAGGAGTCCTGGCTCCCAGCCCCTGTCCCCCACCTCACATTGAAAGTACACCAGGAAGATGTTTGTGGCTATTTGCAGGGAAGGTAAGGTTGGGGGGATGGGGCATTATGAGAGGTGTTCTCAGTGGGGGTGGGATGGGTCTGGGGTTGTCGCAGAAGCTGTGATCAGGAGGGGATTTCGCTGTACACTACAGCCTCTGAGAAGTACTTTCTCCCTCTCTGCTGGGCCACGGTGCAAGGGGGAGTCAGGGTGGAATAGACGGTATTGATTACCTAGGAAAGAAAAGACAGGGCCTCATGTCAGCTAGGGGGCGCTGTGCTGCAGGGATCAGGGTGGGAGGCTCAGTAGGGGGTGCTCTTTGATCAGTGCAGATCACAATGCCCCAGTGTGACACTAGGGGGTGGTGTTCTGCATGCCATGGGATCGGGGGCGTGTAGTGGGGGACCTCTCTCCGTGCAGTCTGTGCTGACCCCAATGCCTCAGTGTGGCACTAGGGGGCACTGTGCTGTGGAGAGCAGGATGGGAGGCTCAGAAGGGGGGCTCTCCCCTTGGAGTCAATGCTGACCCCATGCAGTGACAGGGGAGCTGTGTTGCAAGGAGCAGGGTGGAGGTGCAATAAGGGGTGCTCTTCCCCATGCAGTCATTGCTGACCCCAGTGCCCCAGGACAGTACTGGGGGTCGCTGTGCTGCAGGGAGTGGAATGAGGGGCTCTGAAGGGGGGGGCTTTTTCTCCTGATCTTACCAAGGAGTTGCACCCTCCCCTGTCATCTGCATCCTCTTCTCTCTTGTCCCTTTCCTGGGGGTCTTGACCCACTATGGGCTTCCCTCCAGGGTTCTTGGGCCGCACTGGTTGGTTGTGGGTCACTGGCTGGACCTGCCTTTCACGGCTCCATTCCTGCAGAGCTAACCACACAACAGATCATCCCCCTGTGCCCTGCGGTCTGGTCTCCCAGGGGAGCCCAGAGGGCAAATATCTCCTCTGTGCTGTGGTTCCCAACATTAACCACTAGGTGGCAACCTCACATTAGAGTTACCCACAAGGAAGCCAGAGTGTGGCAGTCAGAAATTCTCCTCTTAAAGGGGAAGTGCCCCAGAGACCCCACCCCAGCGTTCCAGACCCCATGTCTCCCACCAGCGGGGTATGTGTCTCCATCACCTATGGGGGCACCTGGGAGTGTTACTCACCTGTGCCAGCCCCGGAGGGTCTGTTGACATGCGGGGGCCTGAAAGAGGGAGAACCAAACATCAGTGGTGGAGCAGGGTCTGCTGAGCAGGGCTGGGGTTCTGATTGCAGGACAGGAAGATGTAGGGTCATTGGAGGAATGGAACTGGGGTAAGAGTAGATGGGTGCGGTGGCTGGGTGAAGGTTACTATAGCTTTGGTTTTTTGCAGACATCCATTCCCTTTCATTCATCTTTCTTTCTCATTCATCTCTTTGAATGACCGAGTTTGCATTCTCCTTCCTTCCTTCCTTTTTATTCTGTCTCTCTCTCTCAATCATCTCTTTTTCTTTCACTCATTCTTTGGTTCCCTCTTTCACACACCCCTTCCTTCTCTGTCTCCCAGTCATCTCTTCTACTTCCTTCCTTCATTGATTCATGCTCTCCTTTAGTCTCATTCTTTTGTTCTGTCTCCCATTCATCCTCTCTCTCATTCATCTCCTCTCAAACTCATTCATTCCATGTTCTCTCTTTCATTTGTAGGCTTGGGAGCATTAGATTTTCCTCAGTCCACATCAGCAAAGGTCAACTTTGCCGCACACACACAAATGGACTTAAAAATATTTCCATTGATGGTGATCAAAATTTACAAATAGGCAAAGTAAGAAAAATGCTGCCTGAGAATTGATTAGTTGGCTTTTAGGATATTTACTTTGCTTATTTTGACATGGGATGTTGGCAATTTGTTTTAGTGGTTAGCAAACTCTGATCTTTCTGAATCTCAATGTCTCCTGTCCTTAAATCATTAGAGTCTAAGCCCTGCTCAGAATTTCCTGGAGCTGTGACAATTTGAAGAGGGAAAAATTGGGGGGAAACCCTTTAAAATACCCATTGATATTATCCATTTAAATTACAGAAAAATGAAAACTGAATTCTGCCAAGCCTAGTCAGGCTACGTCTACACTATGGGGGGAATCGATTTCAGATACGCAAATTCAGCTACGGGAATAGCGTAGCTGAATTCGACGTATCTGATCCGACTTACCCCGCTGTGAGGACAGCGGCAAATCAACTGCCGCGGCTCCCCTGTCGATGGTGCTTACTCCTACCTGGGTTGGTGGAGTAGGAGGGTCGATTCGGGGATCGATTATCGCGTCCCAACGAGACGTGATAAATCGATCCCCGAGAGATCGATTTCTACCCGCCGATCTGGGCGGGTAGTGAAGACAAGCCCTCATTCTCAATGCAGTCCCTACCAGCTTGGCCTTGGCAAGAAGATGCCCCATACCACTAGGAGGCAGTGTTGCATCACAGATTACATGACCATAGATTAGAAGTTGGGGACCTAGGAAATTTTCCCAGATCAGATGCCGGGCTGGGGTGGCCGTTCCCTTTGCCCCTCGCAAACAACAAGGTTCTTATGGGATGGGCCAGTCTGTCGGGGTGGGTGGGCATGGACAGCCCCGCCAGGTACAGACAGAGCCAGTCCCTGAGGGGTGGGGGTGTATCGGCCTCTGGAATTGGGGCAACTTACTGTGTCTCTGCTGCGACACCACCTGTGAAGAGAAGGGGAAACAGCCATTGAACAGGAGCCTGCATGGTGCAGTGAACCTTGGCGTCTTAGCCGAAAGCGAAGGTCTCAGGATCGCTGAGCTCAGTGCGAGGTGTTTGAATGGAGAACCATTTTAGAGCAAGGTAGGATATTTTGCGCTGAGCCTGTGGGGGGAGAAACCCACCACCTGAAAGGGGGATCTCCCCGCTCTGCGGATCGGACAAGGCTGCAAGTCGGGCTGTTGGAGTGAGACGTACCGAAGAGAACAGGAAAGTACCGTGTTCCCAAGCAGTGGCTCTTCATTGCATCTCATGGGGTCATTTCTCTTGTCACCTTCTGTTTCCAAATCCCGATTCCTGCTTTTCTCTGCATCTTTACCTCCAGCCCCGTGAAATAACCTTCATTTCGGTGTCCCTAGAGACACTCGCGCACAGGAGAGCGGTGCTCTAAGGGGAAGCCGGTGACCCGGGTACACCCCGGCCACCCGGAAGTTGAGGGAACAGGCAGGCACGTATGACCGGGTTGGGGGCCAGTCTGCTTTCAGAGAAACAGGGCTCGGAGCTGGTGGCCGGGGAGCATATCCCTTGGTGGCTGATCACCTGGGTCCCTTCTGCTGATTGACCCTGAAAAGTACCCCCCCGTGTGTACAGAAGAGGGATTCTGACACTGATACACATGCTTTGCTCTCTGCACTAGGTAACATCCAAGGATTAGAACTAATAAAGGCCTGTTGGATCCCCCTGACTCCCCAGTCCCAGCTTCTCCCACCCCCAAATCTGGGTGTTGGCAGCAATTCACGACTCCTCCGTGGGAGACCCAGCTTCCACCCCTCCCCCGGTCTCCCCCCAGTAGTACCTTTCTTCCTCCTGCAGAGGCAGATGAGGAGAAGCAGCAGGGGGAGAAGAGCTGCGGCACCGACACATCCGGCCACCAGGGGGATCCACGGAGGCCAGGCTGGGGATGAGAAGGGGACAGGTGAGCCGCCGGCAAACAAGGGGTATTTTGCGCCCACTGCTAGAACGCAACAACTGCCCTCGGCTGCAGTGCTGCCCTCTGTGGCTCGGACGTGGGAGCTGCACCCCGGGTCATAAATCCTGCCAGAGTGTCTCTGGTGAGGCAGGTTCTGTCCCTGCCCCCTCCATGCCTCATGCTCCATCTCCCAGGGTTGATGCCTGGCTCTGATTTCTCCCCCATCAAGCAGCTTGCCCAGTGGTTTTGGGGTGTATCTGAGGGTATGTCCCCACTGCATTATGAACCCGGATGTGCGGGACTCGGGCTGGTGGAGCTGGTGTTTCTCAGTCCATGCTGGGATTGCAATGGCTGCACCTGGGCCTCTGGGACATGCTAATGCATCCATACTGCAGGTTCTGAGCAAGGTCTGGGGCTTGAGCTGTGTCCACACTGCAAACGGACCTGGCTTGAATCCGCATCACAGTGGGACTTGGGTTCTGATCCACCCCCACAGCAGGGTCTCAAGACCCAGCTCCTAAGTGTTTGCTGACTCGAGTCAGACTGATTTATGTGTGGATGAGTGAGAGCCGGGCTTAGTGTGAAGTGTAGCCATACCCTGAATGGAGCCTGGAGAAGCCTTCGCTGTCACAGTGACGTTCACAGCCCGGCTCCTGGGGGACGGGATCCACCTTCCGCTCATGTTCTCCTCATACCCGCAGGTGAATTCCCCGGTGCTCTCGGGACTGGCCCATGGGATGCTGAGCACAGAGACATTGACAGAGCCGGTGCCGGGCTCCATGGTGATGATCTCCGACCCCACGTCTCCGAGGACGAGCTCGGTTCTATCCTTGTAGAATTGAAACCTCCTCTCGCCGGCATCTTCGGGTGCCACACAGGTGATGAGCAGGGGGAGCCCTTCGCTCACTGCTCCAGATGGGGGATCCAGGTGCAGAGCTGGCTGTGGAGGCGGATCTGAGGGGAGCAGGATAAGGGAGGGGTCAGCATAGGAAAGACCCTGCTGAGTGTAAGGAAGGGGGGGCTGTACTGCATAATGGGCACTAGGGGCAGCAGAGGGTGGGGCGGGGAAGGGGCGGCTATACTGTATAATGGACACTAGGGGCAGCAGAGGGTGGGGGGGGGGAAGGGGCGGCTGTACTGTATAATGGGCACTAGGGGGCAGCAGAGGGTGGGGGGGGGGAAGGGGCGGCTGTACTGTATA